ATTTCCACACTACAGATTTTTTTAAAATTTGAAATTTATAAAATTTACCGCAAAATAAATTCGTAGTCAAAATTTGAAGATAGGTCACCGATGAAACTAATGAGTAAAATGCAAATAAAGTTAGAAAATAGCCTCGTGTAACTCGAGAAATTCCCCTATTGAAAAGCGTCGCTGACTAGTAAAAGATAGTACGCGGGCGCAGAACGAGTTTTCATTCAGCAAAATTGAGCGGCAATGTTGTTTTTACTGTTTTGTTTTTGTCAACTTTTCGATTTATTTGAGTGCCATGGACAGCCAAGGATTATTGTGAAGGATTAAATCGATGAAAACAAGGTTGAAGCTAATTGAATCCTGCCGTTTACTCAATCTATGAGCTGTAACAGCCTATTAACAGGTGGACGTGTTTTTTGTTTCATGTTTGGTTTTGTACTTTTTGCTAAAAATGAACAATTAGGCTATGAAACTGAAATATTTTTCTGTTTACATATAATCACTTTAATCTTGTAGAAACACGACTAAAAACGTGAACGTTTTCTTGAGAAGTAAATAACTTTTTAAACGTTTGTATGCAATTTTGCAAATGTTTTACAGTTGACAGTGTATATTTAAAAAAATTTAAAAACATTGTTTCGTAGCTATTTTTTGGTCTAATGATATTTGTATCATATGTAGAATGCTGTATAGACTCGCAAGTGATTTGGCACTCAAAACGAAGTATTATTCAACGCTTTTTCCATTAGAAACCTTTCAGAAATAGCTTTTTTTAAAAAAAAGCCTGGTCAATTTTTGTTTTGTTTTGATCATGCGGTTGCGTGGGATAGTTCACCTACTGATCCCGCGAACATCCCGCACGCTACTGTAGGGAGCCTCCTTAAGAGGAAACTGAGAACCTTTTTTTACAAAACTTTGAGTAATTATATACCTCCGTAATTTTAATTCTAATCTATTTCTTTGGCTCTTAATCCCTTAATTTTAATCTTATTTTCCGCATTTTCTATAGGAGTTCTTTAATTTAATAATTTTAGTTGTAAATTTGTACTATAATGTAAGTTATTCGTTCGTAATTATGGTAGGCAGATTCAATTGGGGCTATACGCTCTGTCTGCTCACCAATCATCTGCTGTAAATTTGATGATGAAGTTATTAAACTAACTAAACTAACTGTAATGTGATCGAGGTTAACCTTGGCGAATTCTGTGATGGGATGTGATTGCTAGTATCTGCTGTTATGGCTGGAGCAGTTCTGGTGTTATGGTACATTCAAACTCGAGTATGGTTAATATTTGAGGGGAGAGACTTGATTATGTAGATATATTAATTAGGGATGTTAATGCCTGGTTCACACTGGTAGTAAGAATCAGGGATTTTCATTGTCTGTGGTCATTGGTGTGTAAAACGCTTTGTCTATCGGAAAATACAATAGATCGCCGATGAGTTAAGACCAGTGTGAACCAGGCTTAAGTACGAGATATTTCTGGTGTCAGTATATACCATATTGGTATACACGTTTTTGCACCTTGTTAATTACAGAGGGAAATTCCTTGAGCAGTGGAAATTCACTGTCTCATGACAAGTTTGAACAACTTTCCATGGAGCATAGACAAACATTGTTTAATAACACAAAATTTCTCCTTTTTCGTATTGTAAATAGTTCAGCAAAACCAATGATATTGGTATACAACTGAAACTTATACCTATACTGCACGATATTGGATGCAATAGTTACCCCTTAGCCATTTAGCACTTAGCTCCCTATCCACTGCATTTTCAAAAAGTCTTAAAGTACATTGATATTAGCCATTAGGATAGTGGTGCTCTTGTGTAAGCTGGGAGTAATATTTGAAAAACCATAATTAGGAAGTCCTTAGTATAAATAATACAGCAATATTCATATTAAAAAAGAACGATTAATATACTCAATTTAAAATACATGTAACAGAACAATAGTTGCAAACATTTCATAAGATAATGGAAGTGTCAAGTTGCCAACATACAGTTGGTTGTCAACATATTTCAATCTTTATGTTACTAACAAAATCCCCTTTAACTTTATCTTTTCTGAAATTTGCACATCTATATTTGTACCATAATCACTAATTTACATCAATCTGGGTAATACAGGCAAACCCATATATTTTAAAATATTTTCACATATTTCACACGTTTCCCCTGCCTCTTCTACAGTCCCTCAGCTAGGCCTCATGGGAATGTCACAATTTCTAGAAAGCCTGCAGAATCAAACTGTATAAAAAAATGGTGTCGAATTCCATCATTCCACTTGCACACATGATAGTCTCCGATTGTCATTAATTTGGCAACATGATCAAATACAATAGTGCTAATTAGTGCTACAAGTTTATATGGGTCGACTGGGCTATGCAGTAGTGGAAAGTTGGACACTAGCTTTAACAGGAGATCTCCTGCAGCAGGCAAATGTCAAAATGCACCAGAATTTTGAGGCATATAAGCAGTGAAATTGTTATTGCAGCAGGATTTTGCAGCAGATAAACTTTGAAATGGACCAAATGACAACAACTAGATACTGAATATGTTTGGGTTATAGTAGTTAATTAAAGCTAAATGCATTTGCCCATTTTCTGGCAGTGCAGTAGTCGTCATAGCAAGCGCCTTTCACCTCTGAGTTTGTGGGTTCGATTCTCGCTACAGACTCATGTGAAGAGTCTGTCAACGCTCTGTCAAAATTTTTTGTGTTGGTGTTGTGTACTCAGGTGAATAATATGTTTGCGATGTTACTCTGAGTGCATATCCACACCGGGCGAGCTTGAAAAATATGCCCGGCCAAGGTGGGATCCCACCTTGGCCGGGCATATTTTTCAAGCTCGCCCGGTGTGGATATTCTCTGTCAAAAGTCGTAGGTTTTCTCTGGGTGCTCTGGTTTCCTCCCACAGAGAAAGATGAAGGTTAAGATGATGTGGGTTAAGATGAACACAGTTAAGAGAGTAATCACAATTGTTGTAAAGATAAATAGTCCAGGCTAAGTAAGTAACATAAGTAAACATAAGACTTGATGTAATCAGTCACTGAAAAGCCCCAATGGGGAGTGAGCTGATTAACAATGTAATGTAATTTCTAAGTGTGAGATGTCAATGTTAAATGGTCAATGTATTGCAGCAAAATAAAAGGTGTGGTCACATGGACTAGCAGACTCCTGCAGCAGCCACAAGAGTACTTTCCACTATCATGATAATTACTGGGGTCTGGAAAAATATAACCCAGATTGGCAAGGTGCAAAATACCATTGGCCTGACTATCCAACATTTCAAGCTGAAATAACAAGCCAACCGAAGTTATTAGCAAACCCAGGCTTACAAAACTAACCAGAGTTGATAGCTAACCTGGATCTAAGAGGTGGGCCATTAGATATCCTGGGAGGAGGTTGCAGATCCAAAAACAATTCATGCAATGAGTGGAATTTGAAAAAAATCATGCAAGCATTTGGGCTGGAGCGTTCTTCAAAAAAACCGAAACCGAAAAGTCAGGAAAAAAACGAAAAACCGGTTTTTAATCTATAAATAACACACAGACATAAAACCGTGTAGCACATGTTTTTATTATGTGAAGAATTTTGATTTTAGATGCTTAAAAATATCAAAAGCTTACACAGGTATAAAAATACAAGTAAGAAGACAATGTTAAAAGAATGTATAATTTTACAAGTTTTCAGCTAGGATTAGCTGAAACATTAGCATTTTTATGTTGTTTTTACCCAGTTCTTTGGTTTAAAAAAAACAACAGTATTTTCCGGTATACCGAAAAACCGCCTCAGCCTACAAAAATTTAGAGAAGGAAAAAATCCTGCAACTACATGGAATATACAGAAATTATAAAACAATTCCTGCACAGCTTTTACACTGTAAAAAAAGAAGTTGACAAAGCTCTAAACATAAAAACAATTCTTCCAAGGAAAATTTCCCCTGCCCCTCCCAGGATATCTAATGGTCCACCCCAATATAAAAGGGCTGTAAGAAGATACTCAGGGGAGACCCCAGATTTGAGCAATGTCATTCTGGTCAAGAAGTTGCCAAACCACAAACCATAGTTTCATACTTACCTAACACTTTAAACAATAATTGCCTAGCGAATATATTCCTATTTTCTTATAACAGACAAAAGTTTATTTATTTTCTACAAACAAAAAGTGCAGAAATAAACAAACGTTACAAAAATATTTATTTTATATAGTCACACGATTAAATATAAAAGCAATTTTAAGAACAAATCAGCGCTTTTATATGAACACTCAAAAACTAAAGACAAGGCTAGCCTTTATAACTAGACTTATTATCAGACTACTAGTATTATTGTATTTGACATAATGAAATTGACATTGCATAAAAAGTAAATTACTGTACCTTTCACTGTTCGCGAGTTTCTCAAATTCCCCTACAGTTGTCGCTTTCTTCAAAATATTATACTGTTCGTATAATCCTGAAATATAAATATATACTGTTATATAGAAGGTTTAAAAAGAGTTCACACCCTTAGCGACGACAAATAATAATTGAATGTTTTAAATTAACACTAAGCTACTAACCTTGGCGACCTTGAAAGATTTGTGATATCGGTGCAGGAATGCGAAATTCGCCGGTTTTGATTGTCGTGTAGTCCTTTCTTGCTTGCCATCCTTTGGGTGGTACGACCTTAAAAACACATGACCAATAAATATCCTAAAGTTGTTGAAACAAACATACATTTATATACAGATGAGAACGAAGAGAAATTCACCTTGGCAAGACCAGTGCTCGCGGCACCTTGCCTTTCTATCTCTCTGATACAGCCTCCAAAATCTTGAAATTCCTCCAGTGTTGGTTCAAAAACTTTCACTCCATCGACCTCACGGAACTTCATAGCTACACAGTAAAGCAGTACTGTTTGTAAACGACAAACAAACGTTGGGTAAAACGGCAAAACGGATCTTCAATCAACTGCAACATTTGTTCTGCCATCTGGACTGTTGGCCGCTCACCAAGCGAAAGGACAAAGATAGACAATTTCCTCCCCAGGAAACCACGCGTGATTATGCAGCCGTCAATACTGATGCAAACAAATTACAAATTTGTATTACAATATCTTATTAATTTTAGATGCAAACAATGTGAATGTTTTTAATCTCTCTCAATGACCTCTAATCTTTTACTGTAACCTAGCAGACTATCGTATTTTAGCTCTCGTGCATGCACTCACGAGCAGACATAATTTCCGCCGTTTTGAGGGCTTGGTTCCGGTATATATTTCGTGCTTATGTCATCATTCTGCCTTGCAATTGAGGTTTTCCTGGCAGTTCAAATAAAAAATATCTCAAGTCTCAACATGTTTACCGGAGAGGTCATTGCCAAGGCGAATAAGTCCAAAAGGGGAAAAGGGTTATAAAAGTAAGTTCATTTTGTGATTTGACTTGCCGAGGCAGGTGATTCCGATCCGATCAGTCGGATCCGTCTGCGTCGTGCAGATTTTTGTGATGTGTCCAGGTTGTTCAAATGTCGTGCAGGGGTAGCCTCGGGGGTAGCCACGCGTGAGGGGTCTAATCGTTCGGCCGTCCAGGGGCATGGTCCCTCTAAAAATGGTTTCCATTTTTAGGGTCTGCGAAAAGCTATTTCATGCATTTTAGAGTTTAAACACGGAGTTTTATGATATAAATCTGAAAGCCACAGACTTGGTTTATTTTATGTCATTGCTGTGAAACATGAGGTTACGCCCCTCCCTCCCCCCACCGCAGTTTCTCCTCAGTTTTGAAAGAAATTTGTCCTGAAGAAAAGTTGGGGGTCCGGCCCCCCCTTCCCCCCGTGGTTACGCCTCTGGTCGTGCAGGTTGTTCAGATGTCGTGCAGGTCAGTCTGATGTCATGCATGTCGTTAAGATGTTGTGCAGGTCAGTCTGGTGTTGTCGGCAAGTTGTTTGGATGTCGTGCAGATGTTATGCAGGTCCGTCGGGCTGTTGTGCAGCTTGTTTTGATGTTGTGGAAGTTGTTCTGATGTCGCGTAAGTTGTTATGGTGTCATACAGGTCAGTCTGCATGATGTGGTTTGTTAGAGGTACCTACGCAGGAGGTTAAACCACAGACTAGGTTTAAACGTTTGTAAACACGAATACGGGATCCAGTACGCGCATATCGCACGTAGTCTTTGTGATAAAAAAACTTGATTATCGGCTTAGTTTGCTAAAAATGGAAATCTTGAAATGGACGAAAGCCCTGGGGAGGAGGTTGAGCAGTGTTATGACGAGCCGCACGGGTTTAAACAGGATTAACTTTTAGGTGTTGCTTAACGCAGCATTAATAGGAAAAGTGTGAAAGGTGTTGACATTTGTTTCCAATTAATAGCCTGGATTATTTTCCCTTGCATGTAATGTAATGCCAAGTAATGAGACGTAGTTTAATCATTGAAAAATATTAACTAATCTAGTTTATGAAGCGACTTGTCAAGTTGTCATCACCAATTACTGCATATTAGAACTTCAGAATATAAGTTTACAAAATTTTGGGCGCCAAATTCAATTGCGCCAAATCATCTGAAGCGAACAGCATGTCAAGCAATCATGGCGTACAAACGCGTTTACTCAGACAAGCTTCATATTCTAAAAAACTGGTATGCCTACTGGTATGCCTTTATCTGTCGTAACGAAAGACGCTCTATATAAGGGACCGGTCATTATTTATGGTGGGGGGTGGCACCGAAGAGAAATGTTTTTCGTGGCAAAAATTTTGCTGATCCAACCATTAAAAAGACAAAAATTTGATTACCCAACCTCAAATATCAATTAAAAAATAATTACCCACCCTGGCAAAAACGTTACAAAAGGATATCATTCAGTTGTCACACATGTCCTTTACCACTTCTGTGACATGAGTTTGATAACTGCTTGTGCAATTTTCTGCAGTCTAAAGTTTCATGTTGTCTGCACATGTACTTTCTTTGGAGACACCATTTGTTTTGTCAAAATGATCAAGATAGTG